GAAGTAGTTGAGTGTTCTCACTCATTTCCACATAATGCGTCCTTCTATCATTCTCGCCCTCACGTTTTCTGGCTCCGTTTAATAAAACTCACTCGCCGACTGAGCTGTCTCTTTGATAGCGTTGCCTCCTGTTGATCCATCATTGTGGCAAACCCATTTAAATGTTAAACGACCTGCATGTGAAGGTTCATCTGTACAAACGGCTTTTTTTTTTTGTCACTGGATGGATTTGATAGAGTTAATGTAGCAAAGAATCAAACACCTTTTATAACCAGGAATGGAACCAGAAATACAGAGACTCACTGCTTTCATCATTACACAGAAAATGTGTACCTATCACAGCTGTACAGCTGGAATAATAGAAATGTTTTATGAAACTATTGAATGGGTTAAAGCTTTTTATGTTGTGCTTGTGTAATGTTCTGTGAAAAACAAAGACTTATTTAAGGTCAAAACAGGTTCTTTAACTGCAGTGGTTTTTGGAGGTATAGATAGATCAGCAGTTTTTCACAAGAAAGGAAAGTAAACTTTCCCCTAAAAATGTGTATACTGGCATGCTGAATCAAGTCATGCAAGCTCTTATGAGTGTTTTCTTTAGCATATTTTATCTCTAAAACAAAATGTGAAATCATATAAAAACAAAGAATGGAATTAAGGCAGAATAACAGGCTGAAAAACTGACAGCAAGCTAAAATCTTTGCTTAAAATGAACAGAGCTTCAGACTTTCAATGAGTTTTCATTATAAATAAAATAAGAACATAGCTAACGTTTTCCACAAAGTTTTTTTTTTTTTTTGCCAAGGTCGGAGAGCCTCCTATCAGGTCTGGACAGTCAGTAATTTTTTCCAGCAGGGAAAACAGTTTTCTGCAGAGCTGAGGACTTTATGTCGGCTTAACGCTGTTAAACCTACAATCCCTGCAGACAAACAGCTATGTTTAAACCTAACACTGCTGACCCACAAAAATGCACACTTTCATACACATACTAGATTTATCCATTTTATTGACAGTTAAGACTGACAAACCAATTTAGATTAAATTACAAGAAACAAATTATTTTGTTTAGTATAACAAATCTGTTTTGACCCCTGCAAGAATTTATTTAATTTTTTTTGACTGTAAAACAATGATTTAGAATTAACTATTACCCTTACTTTCAGTTCACTTATTCCTTTCTTGGTTAAAAGAAACCTATTTTATTTTATTTTAAGTGATTGAATCTGTTGTCAAACCAGTATGATCACACTTTGAACTCTACAAATACATAGCATAATCATTAGATCATATTGTTTGGTCTGATCCATATTATTACCAAACAAATCAATATATTCACCTGCAAAGCAAATAAGCGTAAATGCTAGACCTAAAAGTTACTAAATGCTGGGAAGTATTGATAATTGCTTTAATTTTAATGCACAATTGTCTTTTAAAATTGTTATGTAACTATTGTTTAGGGACAATGCATGTTAACCTTACAGTACAACAGCAAAATATGTCAAAGTTAGCCAAAAAGCTAGTTGTAATCTGTATTCCTTGGCCAGATGTGAAACAGGCACCCTAAAAAAAATATAAAATCAAGTAAATCAACCATCACATGCACAATCTCACACACCACAGACCCCAACATGTTATTTTTTGAACAAAGAAAATACAAACTTAAAAAGATGTCCTAAGTACACTCCATTGCATGGTTAGACTGAGAACATCTGCCAATATGCCTTGGTCTAGCCATCCAGGCAAGTTGATCTTGAAAGCAGACCACAGATACTAAAACAAGTCTTCAAACATTTAACTTTTAGGGGACCTACAGCTTTCACCTGCTGGTGTGCCTTTAGATGTGGATGCCCGAACATTCAGAAAGAGAATATAGAACTTTAACTGATATATGAGCTCTGCAAGGAGGTCAGTTGTTCTCTGTAAGATAAACATTAATGCCAGACTAATGTGAACCAAAGAGAACTTCTTTGGACAGCTCAGTCTAATATTGAATTATTTGGCCAGAGGAACAAAGGAGACATTTGGAGCAGACCAAAAATAACACTCTATGAAAATAACCTCATACCAGCTGTGAACTATAGAGTTGTAATTATTTAGTTTGGGTACCCTTTACTGCAGCAGGAACTGGCGAGCTCACAGTCATACAATCCACCATTAATTCTACCACCTGGAATTTAAAATATCTTCTTGGTCTGAGTTCATGCAAAGCAGACTAGGAGCACTGTCGGGTAGAAATAGAGAAAATATCCAAAAAATCTAAAGTTTGATCTTATTATTGAAAGTTATGGATGCTCTGTGTCTTAGGACAAAGATTAAAGCTGGCTCTAAGTGCAGATTTTAAAAGCCAGCATCCATGATGGTATATGGGTCCATTTGTGCTGCGGTTCAAAATCCTTTTTTCTTCATGTTTTGTCACTAAGAGAGTTAAAGTTACAGCTTTAACTTATAGCTGTCTCCCTTAACCCGTTATAGCTTTCTCTGACACTTTTTTTTAGTAATTAGTTCATTAACTAAAGCTGTGATTACTATTTGTTATTTTACTCCTTCTGACCTCTGTAAGAGCATATCGCTGAGGAGATTCTAAAGCTGTAGGTCTGAAAAAGGTGTTATCTATTTTTGACGTTTCAGCTATTCTGTCCAATTTTAACATAACCAAAAGATAACCTGAATGCGTAAGTATAGAAAGCTGGTAAAAACTGTGAAAAACTACTTCTATAGAAGTGTGAACAGTAAATGAACATAAGTTATAGTACAATTCCTTCCACCAAATATGATTCAAAATTGTATACAATATTGGCTAGCAACAAGGCATAAAATATTCCCAGCAAACAGAACAGGAGGTTTCCTTCTAATACTTGTAGAAAAAGGACAGTTCAGCGCTGCAGAAAGCGTTGCCTTTAGAAGCTAAACAGCTGATATTCCTTGTGCAACATTTAGTACAGTTAAAGTTAAAATGAGTATAAGTAGCCACTAAGGCTACCGTAAAGCCATTTACACAAATAGGCCATGTTTCTGGTCATAGTTCCTTCCTAACTGTTCAGATATGTGCACCTATTATGGCAACCACGGACGTACTTCCGCATTAGCTTAGATGTCCATACCAATTGGAGTTATTCGGCAAGTACACCTCGCTGTAGAACTCGTGTTCGGATGGAGCCATTGATTGTTATATTTCAAGTGGACCAACACCTGTGATGTCGCAAGTCTATAAGAAACAACGAGTACAGAGGTTCCTGCCTGGGATTTTACTATGTATATTAGGAAGTGCAATTAATCACCTTCATTTTGTTTTTTTGTTTTTTTATTTGACGTGTTAAAAAAGTTTAACTGATAACAAAAATAACGAGTTGAAATCCTTGGCCTAAAAAAAAGACCTAAATGTCTGGTCTAAACAAACTCAAGAACAGGTGATCAACGAAGGAAGCAAGGAATAGTTACAAAGCCATTTCTAATGGTTTGGAGCTCCCAAAAAAGAAAAAAAAATAATAATTACTTATTATTATCTAAAATGGGGACAGACGTACTGTAGTTCTATTTAGAATAACTTGGACATCTTGGAATTAATGCTATAACCATGATTTTGTTTTTTTGTAGAAAAACTTGAAGGATATTGTTGAGTAATCAGTTTGTAACCCTGTAACCTGGGATCAAAAACCCCTCATGGAGGCGTGGTCGTGATACCATGTTGATCCAGAGTTTGAATCCCATCCTGGATACAGTTGCTCAATGCGATCCCTGCTTCTATCTGCAAGGGTTTCCTGTCTAGCAACTGTTAAAATACAGGCCTCTAGAGCCGAAATGAAAAAACATAACAGTTACGGTATGAGGTTTAAAGGCCAATTACTTACTAAGACTTAATCTTAGAGACTTAGACAAACTTAATTGTTTTGTATACACAGAGTCGATGTATGCAGCTTTTTAACATTGAATGAGCAGCTTACAACAATTAAATTAACATTTCCATTTATAAAGTACAGCAGTGATCAGAATGTAAATAGTGTAGGAGAAAAGGAACCAGTTTAGAGACATGGTGCAAAAGGCACTGATATGGAAAGGTTCTACATTGGTTTGTATGTTTTTTTTTTTCTTTTTCTATTAATTTGATTCTGATCGGAAAACCTGTTTGTACAAATAGTGCAAGCTTTTTGAGTCACAGCCCAAGTGATGTACTTCACAGCTCCTAAATAAAAACAATATGATACTTAACCTGTCTATGTTGCTGGGTAAAAAGTCAATGTTACATTTCATTAAAGAAACTTCTTCTTTTAAACAGTATCCAAATAGTATATGGGGTTTCATTCCCCAAATATGCTGTGGTTTAAATCTCCTGAATTTACCATAGACCAGTATTATTTGGCAAATATCATATCCTCTATGAGCTGAGACCATGACAGCTCTCCCACTGAGCTATCGCACACATCAAAACACAGACTTTCATTTGGACACTCTCTTTGTTTAGAGTATTTTTTCCTTTAACTGTGTCCCACACTCAGTCATTACTGCCACGCAGCTGCCTTAATAATATGGTGTTTTTCACCATCTTTTTGTTTGCCTGTTTTTTTACCTCAACAATCCATCTTTGGTTCTTATTTTTTTTGTCAGGTTTACAATCGTTCTCTTTTATATTCTCTTTCGCTTTTGTCCTTCGGGCTCCCTGTGTTGGCTGTATTCTTCAATTACCTCTTGTAAAATGCAGAACTTTTATTGATATGGCTGTGCTGAGAGAGGGAGAAATTGATGCATAAAAGCAGACCATCCAAATGGCCTTTCTGTTCTTCTTGAGAATTGTTTTTCCCGCAGACCTTTTTTTTTCAGTCTTAGTGAAGTTTAGCTGAAAAGCACCCTGTGCTTCTTTCTTGAAAATTGAAAAGCTTTTAGTTTAGGTTTTGGAGACTATTCAGTTTCAATAAGCTGAACTCCGTCACCCGGTTTTCACCCCTCTTCTCACATCATCAATGCATCACACCTGATCTGCAGCATCTCTTTCTTTTTCCCTCCCGTAGAGAGATGAGCTGTCTCCTGTGCGTGGCATGGTCTTAGAGAGCGGGAAAGAGCAGCTCATGTTTGAGGTTCCCCTCAATGACACCGGCTCGGCAGGACTTGGCGTCAGCCTGAAAGGGAACAAGTCCAGGGAGACGGGGGAGGATCTGGGAATCTTCATCAAATCCATCATTCATGGAGGAGCTGCGTACAAGGTGACATAAAGTTAACCAAAACTCCATTTAAAACAGCTCAATTGTTTCTTAATATAAAGTTCCTTATAACAGTACTGTTTATTTGTAAAACTGCACATCTTGGAAAATATTTTCATATTTTGTCTTATAGCAGCCACACACTTCAATGTATTTTATAGTCATTTAATGATAGACTAGCAAAAATATAATGCATAATTGTGGTCTAATAATAAAAAATAAAATAAAAACTTCTTTGATCATTTTAATACCTGCAGCTGTAATTGTTCATGCTACTAAACAATCTAACTTTATTGTGACGATAAAAATGAAATCTACTTTCTGCTACTTCCTCTCTTTCCAATTTTCTTTCATTTGTTATTCTTGCACATTAAGTCCCAATTAAGTACAAATGAAGTTTGCATTGTGCCAAAACTTTCAAGGTAACGCGCTTGACCTCTCTAGTTTACTGAATCAAACCAATTACAGTGATAAATGTGGTTTATCTCATGGTTCATCGCTTGCATTCATTTTGACTTCATGGCTTAAAGGATCAAAGCGTAACAGCATGGAGATAAACAGCAGAAAATAAAGATTAGACAACCAGATGGTCTCGCTGGGTTACTTCAAATGTTTATTCCTTCCTGTGGCTCCTTCTTCACCTCTGACCTTTTCCTCATCATGAAGCAACCGATACGTCTTGGACAGCTGAGAAAAACAGGCAAGCTAATTTATACAAGTCCAAAGACTCTGGCTGGAGCGGTTTGTAACACAGACCTTATAGGAAAAGTTTGATGATCAACGTTTGAGGGACATCCAGCAGGGGCAGTCACTGCATTAGTACCCCTTTCACACTGATCGAAAAAAGTCATTTAAACCCAAGAACAATCAGCTTTTAGTGACAGCGGGAAAAGCTCACGACTCAACGACTCGGCAAGCGACCCGCGATAAAATTACCTCGGCTCTCATCTGCAGTGGTAAAACCAGAGCCGGGTTGACCCGTTAAATTATCTGACAACATTGAACACAGCGTACGGACGTCAACACACCAAGCTAGAAACCTCTGATCTAGCAAGCTCTGTTTATATTCTATAAACATGGAGCACCACTGCTGAGAAGGATTCGGACAGATAAAAGAGTGAAACGATAAAGCACATTGACTTCCTTACATGTTGCTCTACATAGTTTACTTCCTTGATTTCTGTTGCACTGGTAACATCATCACAGTTAACCCAGCATGATGGTGTCACCAGGAACGCAGCTGCAGCTGCAGGGGGACAGAGGCCACACAGCTTGCCAGCGAGGGTTAGACACGGCTTTTTTTGCCAATGGGAAGAGAGCCAAATGCCGATTATTAGCAGGATGACCCATGTTTGAAAAAAATCAGTTTTAACGCACTATTTTCAGTAGGAACGAGGCTTTATTTCGGGGAGATTGGGTTTGTGTGTTGATGAGTATACTCTGCCATGCGATCGTAAGGTTTCGATTTTTGGTGTTTTGGCTTTTATGATGTTTATGTTCTTAAATCTTTTATTGTTAATGAGATGTGTAAAATCAAATGTGTGTTTACAGGACGGGCGGCTACACATCAATGACCAGCTCGTCGCTGTAAATGGAGAGTCTCTGCTGGGACGCTCCAACCATGCTGCCATGGAGACGCTCCGACGGTCGATGTCGCAGGAGGGAAACGTCAGAGGAATGATTCAGTTGGTGGTGCTGAGGACTTTAAAGGTATTATTTACAGTTTCTCTGTGGTTACTTGTTCTAAAAAACAAAAAGAAACTGGCTACTTAAGGTACAATTTTTTCACCTTAATTTACATGCTAAAAGCATATTTTTTTGTATGTTACAACCCCAACTTTATTTTTAGGATTAAAGTATTTTATAGTGTGAGCTGCTGGCAGAAAGAGAAATTCATTTTAAAATGTAAAAAAAAAAAACATGTGAAAATTACATACATTTAGTTTACTGGTTTATTCCAAGCTAATTTGTAAACAAATATATTACGTTATTATAAATATACTGCTCTACAAAAAAAAAGGAAAACATTTTTTATGGTGATGTAGAAAAAGGAGTGAGATGAAAACAATCTCATTTGCTTTCAGCCCCCAATCTCATTCCATAAAACAATGATATGGTTGCTGCCATTCCCGGCTTATTAACTAATTACTCAGTGAGAAATCATCTGGAGCTAATTGAATCATCTACAATATAAATAAATAAAACAGATGCAATATTTAGTTATTATAGCCACATAAATGAATGACAGCTCCTAACGTCCAAGTTCATGTATTGTCAAATAATTCGACATTTCTTTGCTGTAGGTATATATATCAATTAGACAATTGTTGTAATATATAACTATATCTTAAATTTAGGTTTTAACATAACATTGTTATTTTGTATTAACAACGCCTACAATTGTAACATAATGTTATTACTATAATACATATAATCCATATTTATAAACATACACACGTACAGACAGGCAGACAGACATACATAAATAATTGAATATATGTGTGCACATAGAATAATAAATTAATTGATATTTTACACCACCAAACTATTTCTTTGTACCTTGATTTTTATAAATATATTTGGACATTGATTAGAAATAAACCCAGTTCTAAAGTTTCAGATAAAACCCAGACACTGATCTTTGTAAAGAGATCTTTTTTACAGCAAGTTAAGTAGGGCCCAATTAATAAGCCATATAATGTGTTAAGTGCGCTATATTCTAAAAAATGATTAATAATTGAGATGCTTTTAGAAACTTGTATTTTCTAAGGTTGAATCGTAGCTTGGATTATTATCAGTAGTCTTTCATAAAATCCAGGGATTTTATGTCTGACACAGGAGCTCTACCAACACCATCTATGTTATTAATTTCAATTTCAAATATTAAAGATTTGAAATGGAAAAAAAAAAGTTGTAACTTTTGAAGACAATGGAGTGCTATGATCCAACACTGAGCGAAAAGTTATGCATTTTATTTTTTCACATTTTAAATGTTTAATTTTTTTTATTCAGTTTTTTAAGAAAATATTAGAATTTTTGCTCAATAGCTTCTAGGTGTATTGACTCAAAATCTGTGTTGGATCATAGTACTCAGTCACCCCCCCTAACCCTTCCTCCCCGGAGTCATTTTAACATTACCGGCTGCAGTCAGACGACCAAGTGGAAATAGACGAAGGATAAAAAAAAGGGCAGACGAAAATCCTTTGGGTAAAAAAACAGTTAGAAAAGTTACAGGAATAAATAAATTATTGTTTCAGAAATAGAAGGATGTTAAAAAAAATTAAAATAAAAAAATAAATAAAAATAAATATTTATGGTGGAGTAAAACATGCTTTAAAAATGTTGCGTTGTAAATCACTATGAAACAAAAATAATTGTTGGTGTGAATAAATATAAAACAATAAAAAAGGTTGCAGTGGACATACGGGAAAAAAAGCAGCCCACTTGCAATAATTTCAAGAAAATGTATAACAGAAAATAAGGGGGTTAAAAATAAGTCAGCATAATTGCAAGAAGAAAATGTTAAAAAAAAAGTGAAAGTTAAAAATATGTATATTTTTTTAAATGAATAATTTATCAATTGTTTGAAGAAATGTTTATTTTTATTATTTGTCACATTTAATGGCACACAAATTCATATTATTAGGTACTTTTTCAAGCAATTTTATATTATTAACTCCTTCATTTATTTCCGTATGTGTTTTTAAGTATGGCAGGATTGGTCCTCCATAGAAAGCACTTATAACGGTGACTGCTGATGTTCTTCAGCTTTGCTCCTTAAACGATTCAATGATTTTGGATGGAACTGATGACTTTATCCAATCAGAGTTTTCTTAAATAAAAAACTTTTAACCCAACTGGTCTGCATCATTTTATAAAATTTTCTCTTTGATGACATGAATTATTATTGATCTTTAGAAATAAACTGAATTCAATGAAAAAAACAAAAAATCATGTGTAAGAGGTTAAAAAGGTTTAGAAATTGTTCCTTTTTTTCTTTCTGACATTTACAATGACAACCAGATTGTTTTATTATCTCAAAAGAAGAAAAGCAGCTAAAGCAAGTTGTGAATAATTATAAAAGTATAAAGATAAGGATTAGCTGTTTTGAATATTATTGTACTATATTTTATCTATCATTGCAAATTATAAGCAGGAGTGACTTTATGAAATTAAATGATCAGGATTAAAAAGATTAGGGATATTCATTACCAAAAATGAGGAATTACTTTCTTCTCTTGCTGACTCTCTTTCCCAGCAAATAGCATATTGTGTATTTTTAAAGTCAGTTTGAACCACCACTTTCTACGCCTGCCTTTTAGCCTTTCTATCCATTCTTCAGGCTCTTTACACTAGCCTCTGTGCTACCAGCATCAGCAGCGAAAAGAGCATTTACATGTCAGCTTTTCAGATTTCTTGTCTGAGGTCTTCTTTTTAAGAGTGTTCTTGACTCAGGTGTCTTTTTTTTGAGTTGAAAGAAAAAGGCTTTTATTCTCATCTGCTTTTCATTTGAAGCCTTTTTACAAGGCCATGCAGTCTGTTTGCAGAAACCTCCTGCTCATATTCAGTCAGGTGAATTGCTTTATTACAGGACTGGCTGCGAAAATACTGAAACCAGAGTGTTCATATGTGTAATCAGAATTACAAAGAGAGACCAGAGTTGAGTTGCATGGGATAAAACCTTTACCGGTTGCCTATCAGTTCGATTTTTATTCTTTTATTTCTTTTTTTGTCTCACTTAATTGTGCTGGAGATCAAATTCTCAAACTGATGGCCTCATATGTTCCCTCAGATATAAAAAAAAAAACAAACTAAAAAAAACTGAATGTTGGAACCGTAACTATACAGTCATGTTTTTTTTAATTTTTTTTTTTATCAATGCTTAGCTGCTTAGGATGCACTTTAAAAAATGAAAAATCTAGAGAGCTGTACTTATCAAAATTTCTTTTTGTATAAACTTGTGTTTACAAAATGACTACCGTAATTTTCGGACTATTAGCCGCACCTGAATATAAGCCGCAGAAGCTAAATTGCACGATTTGTACATATACAAGCCGCACCGACTATAAGCCGCGGGTTTTTTATGTTTAATGTCCGTCTTTCTCGCTGTCTTTCTGTCTCATACCACTCGCGGTAGAAGTCTGCTTCCAGGGGACCTCCGCATTCCCCCGCGCGCGGCTACCGTACTTGTGTTGAAGCAAATGTGACGTCAACATGGTGGATGGTAAAATCCATAGATTTAGGTATTACGCTAGAAGCTGTTAGCTGTAAAAGTCCATAGATAAGCCGCATTGTTATGTAAGCCGCAAGGTCGGAAAATGGGGAAAAAGTCGCGGCTTATAGTCACACTAAATAAAATCTAAGTCAGATTTAACATGTATTGAGGCTTCAAAGAAGCTCCAAACTACATTATCATAGCAAAAATGTTATCTAATCTAATTGTTTTCCTAAACAAGTGTCTGATTTGAAACCTCAGAGTTCTAACAATCTATTGACTTTAAGGAGTAGCGGCGAGAGCATTTATCATTCAAGAAAAATCTAAATGCACCGTAACACAGGTTAATGAGAGAACCGGGGAGGAGGCCAACGGGATGTCCACCAAACTGAAGGATGACGTGTCTTGAAGAGACTAGCCAGTGATGCTCAGTGCGAGGTCAAGACTGGGATGACAGAGAGGATTTATCACACACACGCACACTAATTCACTTCTTTGTTGTTCGAGATGAGAGCTTATCCAACACAGAGGAACACAAAGACATTGTTTTACAAATTCAAAATGACACACAGATGGATGCATATTAATGAGTATGTACATCAGCTTCTCTAAACACACAGAGGATAAATAAATGCAAATTAAATCCCTAAAGAAATTCTTAGAAAAGACACATCAAGATTGTAATCCATTCTTTGTTTGAGTATTAGTGGGTGGGGGCTCAGATGGGTCTTCGAGGAGGAGAAAGGTGTCGGTATGATGGGTAGTGCCACACAAACACTGAAAAGTGAAGCACCATTGAAGTTGCTTCCAGCACAGTGGGGCGTGGGAAAAGGGTCCTCCACTGTCCTCTGGATGGTTATAGAGCCCAGTCCGGTTTAAAAGGAAAACTAAACAAATCTATTTATTCATCTAATTAGAGATATAACTATCAGAACCGGTATTCGTACAGCTCTTCCATGCAGATACTGGTTTTTGATTATTCAGATTCTTTTTGAAAAATATAAAAAAAATTATACTCTTCCTGGCTTGAGCTGTTATTGGTTGTAACAGGTATGTGAGGGAGCAGTGATTGTTTTAAGAAGACGAAATGACCAGAGTTCCCATTTTAAACTGAATACACAAGTTATTTTAGGATTTAATGCACTGAACGTGGAAACATTGTTTAACAATAGTCTGTAAATTTCTTGGAGAATAAACGCTAACTCAGAATTTTAGTAAATGCTTTTATCATTTTAACATGGATAGATAAAAATTTAAAGCCCAGTGGGATGAAACTGTGTACTGTATATCCCATGGACCTTTTTCTTCCTTTCTTCTTTTTCTCTGTTTGACTATTTGAGCTGATGTAACGAGTCATTTTCTCTGCTGTGAGATCAATAAGGTCAATCAATCAACCAAATACATCAGCTTTGCAGTAATACGTTCGTCCTAACCTGTATCTGATAAAGCCTTGCTCTCTCTCGCTTATTTGCAGCCTGCAGAGCTGTGTTACAAAATCACCTTGTTCTAAATAGCTTTCTATTTTTATGGCTTGTATGAAAAATTTACTGACTCTGAAAGTATTATTCTTTTAGGTCTTTTTTCACAACCCAATCAGTTGGTACTTGGTAGTACTTGGCGCTACGCACTCACTAACCCGAAAAAAAGTCAGAATCTTTATAGTCTCTGACTGATCAGTTGAAGGTCCGGGATGATCAAGCTGAAATGAAGACAGTTTCGGGCCTCAGTCTGAACACAATTTTCTTGGGGAACAAAATCCTTTTATCACAAATTTTGAACATAATGTTATGATCATTTATAGACTGTAGTCACTTGTCATTTATATATATAAAAAAAAACATTAAGATGCAGTTATTACCATTTTTAGCATTTTTTGTACTCAAAATTTGACCAGTATTTAGTAATCTTCTGTGATCACGGTTGTAAATGACCTGTACACTATTTATAGAGTCCATAATCAAGTCTGAGGACTCCAAAGCCCTTCAAACTACATTCACAAACTGATGCTGATAAGCTGCACTGTATCCACAGCTGCCCTGGGACAGACTGACAGAGGGCCCTCCGTCTACCAACAGCACACAAAGTGGCTGAAATGTCCTGTCTAAGGATAAAACTCAGACAGACAGGGCAGGGTCATAGGATGATCCACTGCATCTTGTCCACCTCCTTCCTGATATTCTCTACCGTGTCTGTCCATAACGAATATTGTTCCCTAAACTCTTAATATTATTTGTTGTCTTTCCTTTTAGGATCAATATGAGGTTTCACCCAACCGCTCCTTCGACAGCTCATCTGGCCTGTCGGGACTTATCAGCCCAGCCAAAGGCCAAGCATCCGATTCTGTCCAGCCCCCACTGGTGTCCAACCCCATCTATTCATGTAGTGGTGAGTGCAACTTTTAAAATGCCACATCTTCCCCTTCCACCTAATAAAAGTACAAACCAGTTGATCTGATATTTCCTTTATTATGATGTATCTCCTTCTTCTTTTAACTATAGCATCACATGAATTTGCTGTGGACAAAGGTCAAAATTTGCAATGCAAAAAAAAAAAAAAAATTGCTGTGGACAAAGGTCAAAATTTGCAATGCAAAAAAAAAAAAGAAAAAATTCCTTCTCCACCATATAAGAACATTTGTAAAAAAACCTTTAGATTAAACATAAGTGAATTGATGAATATATTTTAAATATTTTAAAGTTAAGTTTATCTTAAAGCTGCACTAAAAAACTGTCAGTTTTTGGTTGATTTTGGCTCCCCCCATTGGACAAAAGCTGTATTGTTTTGCCTGAAGGAAGACAACATTTCCCATGAGGACCAGCATGATAACGATGTTAGCGTGTTAACATCTTGATCTCCTGGTCACCTGCAGTTGAATTGAACTACATTTCTATTGCCCGTGGCTGTGTGAAAAATGAATAGCTATGAGGTAATGGATCTAACTCTGGTGAAACAATGTCATATGGCGATGTTGGAAGCAAAAAAAGTTTAACTTTGGATTTGTACCATATTCCAGCACTGTCCTCACTTGTGGCTTATCCCTTTGTAAGAGATTGATTCATTTGTTAAAATTGGAACAGTTCTTTATTTCTCTCTTTGGAGAAGATTAGTATGGCTATTGACTTTTCCTATCAAAACATTTTTTTTTCTTGTTGCAAGGTAGGTATGGTATGGTATGGTACAAACTGGCACTCCAGGAGAAAATTTTTCACATAAAGGTGATCAGCAACGTCTAATGTCCAATTGGAATATTAAAAGAATGTTTCCTTTTAGTGTCATTTTTTAATCACAATCCAATATAATTTCAGATAGAGTTAAACCAAATATGTTCTTGTATAACATCTAGCTGCACGACTGATTTTCCCCTGTTATTGAAAAAGTCCTTCAGGTTTTGGGCTTTTTTAAATGGCATTTCTTGTTTCCAAGTTTTACGCTGTATTTTGCTTGTGAAAGTTGTAAGTAGGTATGGTTAATACAACCATAAAACAGGGTAAATTAGAGGGAAATAGACCCCTTTTTTTGACATTTTTATCTAAAAAAAACTTCTTGTCAGTTATGGTGTCTCACACCAGGGCAACCTGCATTTGGAGCGCTGCTGTTCTTAAGCATGCATATATAACCCCATTGTGAAAGTAATTTTAAATAAATTACAAAAGCTGTCTCATCATGACCAATACAACTCACACCAAACAGTAGACTAAAGTGACCCATTAGAATCACAGATGGGTCATGGATTTACATTTGGCTTGGAATGTCCCATTGAGAATAAGCTATTGTCCTTAATAGATGCAGCATCCAACTGCAGGTAGGAGAATTGACAAAGACTCCTCACTAGGTGTGGAAACATTTTCAGAATGACTGAATGAAAGCCGTTTCCTCCAGTTAGGCTGTTTTGTGTTTGTACCTTGTTTGAGGATTGGTTAGCTTGATTCTTTAAACTGAGAACATGCTCCCTAGTGTTTACTGCTGGTCAAAGCACTTAAAAATATATTTTACTCAAACAAGCTCATGCTTTATTTGAAAAGCAGTTAATTATTTATCTGCATTTGAAGGCAGCATTTATTGCAAAATAAAAACAAAAAAACAAAACAGTTTTTGTTTAGTAATTATAGCCTCACCACAGGTTTGATTACAGTAATCTGCACCGATTATTGTTCTCCCGTAATAAAGTCATCAGCGTCTCTGGGAGAAACATGATTGTACGTAAACCTGCATTCTTCTACTTCTTTTGCTGCCAATTGAAGCCACTGGAGAAGCCCTGCATGGGTTTGAAATAATTGCCTGTTTCAGATACATACCCACAGTATAGATACACTCATATATATATAATCTGAAATTTGTCTTTCTCCCTATTTGAAGAAGACATTATGCTTCTTACTCATTATGATGAATATTCAGCAATAAAACATGAATCTACTATAATTATAGGATAAAGTTGATAAGAGAAATAGAGCTTAGATTTTTTTCACAGCAAGGAAAGGATGATTATTATTATCAAATGGCATAAAGTATATCGTTCAGACAAATTTAAGAACATGCCATAGCAACCGCCTTAGCAACTGAATGCTTCAGATATGGCCACAAAACCATGACGGCACACCGGGCGATCAGCTGTTCCCTGACAAGTGGTGAGGAGATTGTGTTTTGGTTTTGCTGATGAATTTCTGCCGTTATCTTTAGAGGCATCAAGATATGCAGCAATGCATTGCTCTGAAGAGGGTATGGAGCTTTTTGAGTTGCCTTAACGGAGGTCTAGAGCAGTGTTTGCCAACCTTTTTGACGTGTGTACCCCTTTGGGCATTTTATCCTACCATGAGTCCCACTCTCAGTCGAAAGTATTGATTATTGTTCAAAAGTGGGAAATACAACAACTGATTATAAAATAAAAACTATTATACTTAAACTTTTAGAGCATTTGAGCATTTAATATTTAGGCATTTTATGCATTACATCCCAAATAAAACACAACATAAATATATGGCCTGGAAGTTAGTAAGGAATTGAAATGAATAAAAAATAAAATGATATTATAAACCTTTTTTTATGAAACCGTAGCTCCTCTGTGTAACTCCAGTATAATCACATATTTAAACTTGATGAATTGGGAACAAAATACAGAACAAAAAGTATTGTCAGACTGACTTGATTAGTTTTTCTATGTTTTCATCAAAATACCTGAGCTGCTTTGATGAGCTTTGATAGCTCAGTGTGAAAATCAGCTGATCCCAGGCTGTTCTCTACATCCAGTCTGTTCCTCTGCTTGGTTTGGATGTGTGTCACAGCTGAAGGTGAACTCAAACATAAAAGAAAAACTTTTTGGCTGATAAAAGCTTTTTTGATTTTTCAATTTGATCCTGAGAAAGCAAAACAGATCCCAGCCCTATTTTATTTTACTACCTAATAAAAAAAATATTTTCATGTACTCCTTGCAATGCATTCCTGGACCACTAGGGTTACACATGCCCCCTGTTGGGAATCCCCGGTCTAGAGGATGGAATTTGAGAAGAAGACAATTCGTCGGCAATTTTATGAATCTGACAGGAAGAGAGACGTGGTAGCAAAGTAAAACCCAATTGCTTTGAGGGAAATACAAAATAAAATCGCTCAATGGATAACAGTTAGGTTTTGCCACGTTTAGAATCACGCAGTGCTTATTTAAAAGGTGGGGCACATAAACAATCAATAGAAGTTTTCAATAAACCGAATACCTAACCCTTAATAGGAGTTTGAAAGGGCAGAAAATGGATACACTAAAATAGTGATCCTCTTTAAACCTTAAAAAATAAATAAATGACGAGGGACAGAATTATACATAATATAATATAATTTATATTTTTTATATTATTATATATTATATATAAAGAATTATATATTATTATATTTTTTTAAATCAAGAAACTCAAAGATCTCACAGAATCATCTCTCACTGCCTCAGCCAGCATATAAACCATCCCACAGCCTTTATTGCTGCATTTCCATTTTCTTTAAACATAGTTCCCATTTTATTTTTAGCATAGTAAAATCCTCTATCTGCTCTACTCTGAGAAAGATGTGTTCAGATAGTCATGAAGTTAGGCTTTGCATTGTTGTCGTGCTGCTGTTTTTTTGTTGTTGTTTTTTTTCTACTTCTTTTTGTTTAGAATAAAAAGTTTTAATAATCAGAGACATTCAAAGGCAGGACATAGTTTGCATTTGGGACAGATGTGAAAGAATCTGCATAGATGTGGACCTGCTCAGGCTGCTAGAAGAAGCCTCTCTATGCGCTGCAGTCAGTGCAACCATTGGGATCCGGGCTTTAGTTTTAGGACCGGATGATGATAATGGAAGAAGATGTTCCTACTGTACATTACTTTCCAATAATGTTTGGTTAATACATGTTTTTATCATGAGATAGATAGCTAGCATGCCATAGTAGTTTCTATAAATAGCTCCAGATGCGCATGTCAGCTGAGCCGTACCTGGGCCTGTCGAGTTTAAAAGCTTAATCGAGTCATTTAGACCTCGTCTTCTTAGTAGTCTAAAACGCTCTGCTTTAACACCTACTATTGTGAATGTCTGTCGATCTCCAGTCTCCATCTCACTCTTGTCTCTCTGTTATCACTATTGGCTCCTTCTAGCCCTCTATTTTCCTCGTCTGACGAGGCGTTGCAGCAGTTGCAGGACCTTTCTGTCGACAAGATTTTGTTCATCATCCGTTGAAATACCTTCACTTGACAAAGATTCATAAGTAGTTTTGTCGCTATACATATCCATTTCAGTCTGCATATCATATGAGTCTGGGGCCTCACTGTCCCAAACTTCAGGATGGTCAATCATGAGTCATCAGAATAGAAACGAGATCCTTGAAAGGGGTATAAATGTATTCACAAAAACTGAGCAAAACTCCTTTGATTGTCTTTGATTTAAAGCATGTTGCAGATTCAGGAGGCTTTGTCCGAGCCTGGTCTAGGCTTTGTCTCTACTAAAGGAGATATAAATTCAAATCAATTTCGTTGGTTTATACAATGCCAATTCACAAAACTTGTCACCTCAAGGCACTTTACAGAGAAAGAAATATTTAGCGATATGATGAGGAAAAAAGAAAACTACATTTTTTTTAAACAAGTACGCATTGTTTTGACTTTCTAGCTTTTACGTTAATCCCTATTTTGAAGTGATGTATCTTAATTTGGACTGTGGTGAATGGTGATGGTCTTAAACAAAGACTCCTATCTTATATGCACATTGTTTAGTGGTTTACCTTTTTATTTCCTTTGTTGCTTTTTAATGGTTGTAGAGTTAAAACTCTTAGTATTTGTCCACTGAAGGCATTAAGTGCTCGCCGTCGCACCTCCAGCTGCTTCATTTCCTGTATTGTCTCTCTCTAACACTCATGTGTTCTTGTATTT